CACCAGCCGCAGCATCAGGACCTCGCGCCTCCGTAACCCCAGCCCCTCGGGATGGGAATTGCTGCAGGGAGCCCCAAGGGCGTTTCTGGCCTTGGTGCGTTTGCTCCGTGGTGGAGGAAGCTCCCCAGCTCCGGCTCCCTGAACCGGCTGCTTCTCTCACAGCAGCGGCTTTGCTGCTCGCAGCAGAGGGTCAGGCTTTACAGCCGCATCACCTAAGCCCTGGCAATGCCCCCTCCCGCCCCCTGCACCGATGATTCATCGCTTTGTCGCTGGCAAACGCAGGGCTCGCTCTTCCCTTTCCAGAGAGCATCATAGGAACCCGCTGCCCGCCCCGCTCCAGCTCGGAAACCTTGCCACGGCAAAGCGGGGCCAGGGGCAGGGTTGCAAACGCACATGCAATAACCTCACTGCTGAGGACCGTGGAAAAAGCAATTAACCACTGGCCGAAATTGCAGCCTTGCTCCAAAACACCCGGATGCCGGAGTCACCCTGCTGCATCCAGCCACACCCCGGCGCAGTTTCCTACTGATAAGGGCGAGCGCCAGAGCGGGGCAAATCCAGCATCCCTCCAAAAACACGTCTGCCCTCCTCTGCAAATCCCACCGGAGCCGGCCCGTGCTGCTTCCGACCCTTTCTCTGGAGGCACCAGCCCAGCAGCAAACCTCTGATTTCTGGAGCTCGAATACATCAGCAGCCCCTGAGCCAGCACGGTCCTGCCATGAGCGAGCCCCCGAGCCGCAACCGGAGCCAGGCGGAGCCCGGGACGCTGCCGCCCTTCGCCGGGGCTACCTGCAAGAGGTACGCGCAGGCCTGCGGCCAGGAGCGCTGGCAGGCGGGGAAAATCCCCGCAGTGAGGCCAGGAGCGCCGGCAGCCGGGAAAAATCCCGGCAGTGAGCTGGGCCGCCAACACGCAGCCCCAGTTCAACTCCTGCACTGGTGGGAGCAGCCGTGCATGAAGTCAAACAAACGTGGCAGGGGAAATAAAAGGGGAGGAAAAAAAAAAAAAGAAATCCCCTAAACCCCACACCTTCAGCAAGCAGCTGCTCAACTCTCTACCGTTATATAAAAACAGAAGAACCAAAAAGAAAAACACAAACTCCCCCATGCCCCAGGGGCAGGGAACAACGCAGAAGTGCTGCAATTCGCAATTCCTGGAAACAGGCCTTGCTCGCTCGGGGACTCGTTCGCACTTATTTATTTATCTTAGAAGAGGACAACAATAACCACCATATTTTCTTCGTTTTTTTTTTTTTAAAGGAAATTTCCCCATCATCTGACTCACTGAGGCTTTAGAGGACATGGGCATGAGGGCTGTCGTAATCCTTCCTGCTTTGCAATTAATTCATGAATATAATTAGCCAGCAGCTGTAGGTTAAACGCAGCTCCCTCCTGCGCCCCCTCCAAACTCGCGCCACCCTCGAGCAGTAAGTTGTAGCCTTCACAGAGCCGGTGCACGCCGGGGCTGCGCGTTTTTCGGGCCATCCCCTAAAAGTTGTTTCCGGGGTGGTGGTGGTGGTCGGGGGGTGCTCAGGCCCCTCCGGATCACCCCCACCCTCCCCCCAAGTTTTAACCCTTTCCGCTGCGGCGCCG